TTTGCAGGAACTGCAAGATAGTTTTCCCTATCGGATACAGGTCTCATTCCTCTGTATCAGCTCTCAAGACCAAATGAGTTGCTTTCACTGGGGGAGAGGAGAGCCCAAGGCCTGTTTGACCCATTGAAGAATCCTACTTTGGGCAATAAATGCTAGAAGTTTATGTAATGTCTCCAGGTACTTACATTGCATTTGATAGGATATGAAGAAAAGCAGTCTTTTGATGGGTCTCTGTCTCTAAGTGTCTTGCAATTTCTATTTGTAGCATAAACCAGAGTAGGGAGGCAGTTCAATTTGGGAAGGCCCTAACGTACTCTCTCTTCCCTAAATCTTCCTCAATCAATACACCACTAAGTCTTTACAATACCATTATCTCAAGGCCTTCCACCATTAGTAATTGCTGTGTTCTTCTCACTCATCTTCCTGGCCCCACCATTGCCCTGCCCCAGTCCGCTCTCCATACTGCAGCCGGAACAACCTTCTGAAATGTATCCCTGCTTAAAACTCTTGGGAGTTTCCTAGTGCCTAAGAACAAAGCTCCCCTAGGCCCATTATAACTTAGCCCCTGTCTACTTGTCTCCCCCTCGCAACTGCCTGCACCAAACTCTAGCCACACCAACTACTGGGTCTTTGGAAAAGTCATGACATATTTTTCTATGCAAAAATGTGTCACATCTTTTCTGACGACCCAAGAGTTCACAAAATTCTCCAACCTCTCTCCAGACTTTGTGCCTTTGCCTTTTGCTAATTTTTCCCCCACCATCTATAATAAACTCCCTTTCCACTCATTTTCTGTTTTTTTGTTTTAATTTAATTTTTTAATCATTATTTATGCATTTGATAGCTATACATCATTTAGATTTTTGTTTGTTTTTGCAATAGGGTGAATATGTGAGCCTGAGCCTTGAACTCCAGTAGAGTCCCTGATGAACCTCTAAGCTTACTGAGGAGTTCATAAAGACATCTTTATATCTACCTCTCTCTATATTTTTTAAATAATAACTTTATTGAGATATAATTCATATTTTATAAAATACACTCATGTAAACAAATGTAATGTTTTTTAGTATTATTTATTATTTTTATATATTCAGTCATTATACATCATTTAATTTGTAAAGAGATTTTACCCAACATGATATATTCCACACAGCTAGACTACAGATGAGTTGATAATACTATACATGACATCACCAACAGGCAACAAACCATATCTCTGTAAGACAAATGTCTTACCTCTCCATATTTTCCCAAATGTCCCTTCCTGCACCCTTCCCCTCTCTCCCACTCTCCTTCTACTTTGTCCCTGGTGTCTATAAAAATTTTCAATGCTTTTATGTCTTCCAGTCTGTCAGTCTCTACCACTGAGTGCAGGCAATCAGTATGTGTTAAGTGGAGACACACAATGTCTCTGTTTCTAGCCTGACTTGCTTCACTCAGCAATAAATCTTCCGTATATACCCACTTTCCATCAAATGCCAGGGTCCTGTTTTTTTGTTTTTGTTTTTTGTTGTTTTTTGTTTTGTTTTGTTTTTATGGCTGAATAGTATTCCATAGAGTATATATGCCACATATTTCCAATCCATTCACCTGTTTGTGGATATTTAGGTTAGCAATTGTGAAAAATGCTGCAATAAATATAGTTGTGCAAGCGCTTTTCCAACTGAGTGTTCTGTTTGTTCTTCAGGACAGTACAAGGATCCTCTTCCCACTAGTTCCAGGGAGTCTTCCCCAACTATCTTAAGCCCATGTGGGGCTAGGTGTCTTTCCCAGGAGCTCTGGGAGACACTCAGGCATTCCTTTATGGAGATATTGTTCATGCTGAGCCAGTCTCATGTGATTCTTGTCTGTACCACACCCCAGACAACGGGCTCTCTATCAGAAGCTGTATCTGGTTTGCCTTTGCAGTCCCTCTGTTCAGCATAGGGCCTAACACATGTACACATCAATGTCTCCTGGATGAGTAAACGAACAGATTAGATTTTGAATAAGAGATAGAAATCCATATTTTAAGATATTCGGTACTTTAACACTTCATTTTCATGCTTTTGTATGATAAGTAAAAAGATGAATTTGCACAGATTAAGGGCAAGAGGTAGTTGTGTTAATAAGAAATGAGAGACTCTGAATCAAACAGACCACATCTACTACCTTCTACCACTACTGCTAACACTTATTAGAGGTTAACTCTAGAGCACTATTCTAAGCATTTTATATGTATTGACTCAACCCTCAAAACAATCCCTATTTTATAGAAGAAACATTGGAACAGAAAAATTAAATAACAGGCCAGCCCAGTCCTAGTGGTTCAAAGAAGCTGAATTCCACATGGTCAACTGCTGGTCAAGTCCCAACTCTAGTGGCTTGAAAAACACACTGGGTGCATGTGCATGCAAGCCTAACATCTCAGCTGGATGGGAACAGAGGACTTACAGGGTGACCACAACCCACAGGGGAGTGTTTTCTTTCTCTCCCTCTCTCTGGCAAGGGCACACATCCTCTGGCAATTAAAAAAAAAAGAAAAATTCACTAACTTAACCATTAACTAGCTGAGCTGGGATTAAAATTTGGCAGAGTCAGTGGTTTATGTTTTTGTTTGGCTTGGTTTGTTTTATAAAACTTGCTATGCGGCATGTGTCCTTGCCAGAGGGCGATGGCATTGGGGGATAGTGGGGAATCAAGAAAGCACCTCCCCACTCTGGGGCAGGGTGACCATGCTGCAATCTCCTCGCTTCCACTCTGCTCTCAAGGTTTGGAGGCATGGTCACATGCAGATGCTCAGCGTATCCCTCAAGTCATGCAGCTGGTGATGTGGAATCCAGCCACCCCAAATACCACACCACCACAGGCATAAGCCAGTGGCTCTTTTTTTTTTAAAAAAGCACATTTATTTATTTGTTGTGAATTTCAAGCTGTTGGGTCTGGGACTCCAACTACAGTCGACCATAAGGGATTCCAGTGCTTTAACCACCATGCTACCTGCTGGCCCCAAGTCAGTGGTTCTGACCACTACATAGTACTGCCAGCTCTGTGGCCTTAACTTGTGTAGTAAAATGATGTATGGGTATTTGCCTCGCCTCAATCTTGCTCTGTTTTTTTCTGCCTTAACATGGACACTCACAGTTGTAACGCACTGACTAATCAGTATCAATGACATTTGAGAGGTTTTTCTGGTGGGTTCAGCATCTATGTAGCCAACTCTCCTTGCCAGTTGCCAAGAGGAAGGAGTCGTGCGGGCTAAGTGGAAAGTTAAGTCGCATTGTGTTTCCTTTGGAGCTCATTTTCCTGCATTCTAAGGAAGTGACTGTTTCTAAAGTTTTGATACCTACTTGTGAAGTCTCATTTTTTAAATAACCGTTCAAAGACACAGAAACTACTGAGTGAAACTAAAGATTGCAGACGGTGAGACGCCTTCACCACTGTATGAGGTTTCTGACATCAAAGAAGTTAACACAGATAAAGAGAAATTAGGGAAAAAGGATGAGAAAACTCAGCATCACGATTTTCTATGGTAAAAGGAAAAAAGTTTTTAAAAAAGAGAACCGGCTGGACAGGCGAAGTCGGGCAAATGTGCAGAGCTGAGTAAGTTTCCCAGCTCAGTGTAAGAAGTCACTCTGTGGCAAACCTGAGACAGGGAGGCAAGGAAAAGGTGTTGGGTTTGATTTACGGCACTTAAAAGTTGGGTTTATTTTTTGCTTGATTTATATTTTAGTTTATTTCATTTTGGTGGCTCTGTGTGTGTGTATGTGTGTGTGTGTGTGTGTATGTAGGTGAGTAGTAGAGGGTTGGTGGTTGCTATATAGGAACAAAAGCAGGGAAAGAAAAGGAAATTGGGCTTCCCGGGGCTTAAACACAAATTCTCACTGCTTCCAAAAGGAACCAAGCCACAAGAATTTCTCTGCGTTTCTCTACATCATAGGCAAGCCGTAGAAACAGAAATGGCAGTGGAAAAGGAGTAGGAAAAAAATTGTTTTGAGCTCTCCAAAGGGCAGCCAGCGGTGGTGGAGAATATCAGCAAAATATAGTCACCTTGAAACTACGCCTTCAGCTCGAAGAGTTCTGATGTCGATGTTTGGCTTTTTGATTTGTAAACAGTTTTGTGCAGAATACATGAATATTTCCAGAACTTGTGACTTACGATATTTTATTTTCTTCACCTCCAGTACTTTGAATGTTCTTTTAATAATAATGGACTGGAGCTTATCTGTATCCTGGCCAGTTTTATAAAACGAAATAATTGCTGAGCAGAAGAAGCAGGTTTATTTGCATTTAATTTTTTAAAAGAGAAATTCTGCCACCCTCTGGACAGAAATCAAAGATCTATTTCTTAGAGATCCAACACAGAATACTAAGTACTTGCCCCTGAAAATAAGCGTAAAACAAACAAACAAACAAACAAACAAAACTATCCTGTAAAGGGGGCTAGGAATCAGAGTTGCTTTAGGTAGACTATATATGAAAAAGATCATGTAATAATAATAAATTGACTGTAAGAAATTTTTAACCAAAAGGAAAGAATCTTAGAGCACATAGAAAAAAAGTATTAAACTCTTAATTTTCCCCCAAATCACTTGACAACCTGCATTTCTGCTCTCTAGTCTGCAACAACGACACAAAGATTTTTTTAACACAGTCTCAATTATGGCTATTTTCATATATTAATAGTTTGCTTTATCAGTTTCAAAAAATCCACATCTATATGAAATCTGTATATATAAATATATGTTGGTTTTTAACTAGAGCTAACCAAACACAAGGGTAGAGTGAGATTTCAGCCATTTGAGAAAAATTAGCCATAACAGCACAAATGAGCAATTTGTTTCTGAAGCTCTTCGACTGTCATCACTGGGCATGGAGTACTTAATGTCATGTAAATGAATCTCTCAAAAATGCAAGGATGAGCTCATTACCAGTAATAATGCCAGGCAAATCAAAACACATGACATGCCATTTTTATAAATAACCAGAGGGAGAAAGCAGAACAACACCAAGTACCCTACCTGGTTTTAGCAACTGGGTTTAGATGTTTCTGGTCTTGGACGATCCTGGCCAGCTGTTTTTGCAGAAGCAAAACCTTTCCATGCGCACTTTTAATGAATGGGTGGTCGAGGAGCTGTGTGACGGAAGGCCGCTTTTCAAAATCCTTTATAAGACACCTGTTTGCAAAAATCAACAAACAATCTAAAGTACAATCTTAGACTCCCTGTTCCTCTGTGATTATGGGAGAGAGGAGGCGACAAAGCTCATTTATAAAACCTGAACATTAGTCTTACGTGGCTCATTTTGTATTAATGTGTACCAGAAAATAGAAAAAAGAATTCCCTATTAGTTGAATAAATTAAAACATCAGAAATATATCATAGTTTAAGTAAATATTGAAAATACAATCAATTTTTACCATCAATTTAATTTTAAATACTAAAACCACTGATAAAATAGACTGGTCTGACCATTTTGTGTCTGATTTTCATTATAGAAAATTGTATTCAATGGAGTCATGTTAATTAGTCTATATTCTTTATTTTAGAAGCATATAGAATAAAATACTGTCACCTCAATTAAATCCTAGCATATAAAATATCCATTATTTGGTGGTGTGGAAAATGTATTTAGGAGATTGCAAGGGGAAAAAAAAAACCTAATCATAAAGAAACCTCCAGAGAAAGTTCAGTAGCTTGACTTCTAATGCCTTCTGAAGAAGCAGAAAAACCTCAGAACAGGAAGTGACTACAATATAATTCAGATGAATTGCAATAGAATTATGCAAACAGGGAACAAAAAGTCCATTCAAAATGGTAAAAATTGGGTTGCATTTAAACCCTTCTGTGGTAAATTGGTTAAAACCGCACCAGTGTAACCACTTTCTGTTTCGGATTCAACGCCCTTTTCAAAGAAAACAATGATTTAGTATATTTTGCTGTATGTGCTGTATCATTAAAGATGATTTTGACACAAGGAAATTGAATCTGAAGAATACCCCTCCAATTACCATTGCATTTCTATTCTGAGTAGCTGCCCTTGATGAAGGAAGACATTTCAACATCTACCCTTTTAGCTATCGGTCTTTAGCTCCCATTGGAGGCTTAGGATAAATTCTGGATGCCATTCTGCCCACTCCATGAAATAAACATCTTTCATTTTCCCAATAGTGGAGTGCCAGCAACATCTAAAATACAACATATTTTAAATATTGAGATGCATTGACAAATGGTAAAAAGTTCAGTCTCACCTTGAACGTCTTTTCAGAACACTTAAGCAGAGTTTTTAAAACAACTCTCAAGTGTTCAATTTTTAAAAAAATCTTTAACCTTGGCAGTTTTCATTTCAAAACATTTTTGTATCCCTCACCTCCTAGTCCTGAAAAGATATCTAGCAAATTCCCCAGTTGTGTTCATTTTAGAATGGATTCAGGGGATTCCCTATCTCTTGGAACTGAAGCTTTGAGCTAGAAAAGCCAACGGAACCTGAATTATCTCCATTCTGCCTCCTGCAGGACTATAAACACCACCTTTGCCTTGACAGGAAACGAAATCAACCACCTATTGATTAATCCCAACACTTCTACTAAGCAAACTCAGGGGTCTGAGACTAACGGTGGGAGGGGCAGCAAATAATAATAAAAAAAAAAAGTGATAAGCATGTGAAGGGGTAAGGGGGCTGGAGCTAACTCTATCTTCCTCTTTGAGATAGTGTTCCAGGTGAAGCCTGAAAATAATATTTCAGAGAGTAAAGCTCTTTGAATAGGGTTTGAGAGAGAGAGATGGGGAAACCCATACTCCATTTAACCTTATAAAAATAAGTCTTGGGGTACCAGCAGTTAGCGTAATGGCTATGTTGCTGGACTCCCACTTAGCTGACCACAGTTTGAGTCCCAGACCCGGTGGCTTAAACTCACGCCAGGCACATGTACATGTGTGCCCAAGATCCTGAGAGGAGAATGGAGGAGAAGGGATTGTGGCATGGCCATCCCCCCTGGGGGGGTGATTTCTCACTTTCTGTCTCTGTCTCTCTGTCTTTCTGGTGAGCGCACGTACCCTGTAGCAAAAAAAAAAAAAAAAAAAAAAAGGGCTGGCTGAATAGAGCCAGACTCTTTAAAAATAATAATAATAAGTCTCCACTGAAGTCTAGTGATGCAATAAAGGTGGTATATCTTGTTTCATAATTTAGCATAACTGGAGAAGCAAGGCTTCCAACAAGCTTGTAAGATTTAGAATAGAGACCAGCAGATGGTGTAATGGTTGTGTTGCTGGACTCCCACATGTCCAACCACATTTCAAGTCCCACATCTGGAGGCTTGAAACTTGCCCCAGGTACATGTGCATGTGTGCCCAAACTCCCAAGAAGAGAATGGAAGAGAAGGGATTGCAATGTGGTGATTTCTCACTTTCTATCTCTGATGAGTACATGTGCCCTATAACAAATGTCACTCTCTCTTAAAAAAAAAAAATCATTTGGTATATTGGAGAGGATCTCTAGATCACAAAGGAAGTAAGAGAAAAGAGTGAATAATGGAGAGAATTAGACATGGAAGAAAGTAATAAGTGAATATGTTGTGTCCTGAAAATCCAAAATAAAGAAGATGGTGAGGATTCCACTCTGGAAGCAATGATTAAGAGGATTTGTTAGCTCCCTCAGTAAAACTGGAACGGGGTGACTGTCATACCACGAGATCAGCAAAATTGAAAGTGTGTATATGGGAAGAATGCTAAACAGAGCTGTGACATATCCAACTGCACTGGAGGGTTCGTAAGGGAAGGCCACGAAGACCTTGAGGGTATAAGCTTATTCTAAAATTCTCATGGATACTTTTTTCTCATGAGGAAACAGAGTCTGTCTGAAATGGAATTATTATTTTACGGATAAATAGTGGAGCACTCCCTCTTAGAGGAAGTTATGGCTGAAAGTCGTGATATTAGCTATCAGGGCATTGGAATCATATGACGTCATTTATTCGGCAGACTATACAGCACCAGAATTGGCCAATATAAATTAATTCATAAGAAATTATGATCTTTTTCCTCAAGGATCTGGCATTTAATTGGAAAGATGGAAGAACAAGAGAAACAGAAAACAGCAAAAGCTGATGTTTGCTTATAAACTTGGAATAAGAAATAACACAAAAGCATAAGGTTTCAGAGGTCTCAGGGACTGGGGCTTACTAATCTAACCTCTTCTTGTGAGGAGTGAGGAAACTGAGGTCAAATCCTTATAGTGCTAAGGTTAACCTCTGACTCCCACTAGAGGACGCTTCCTTTTCTGTTATCAAAAATGATATCGCAGGCCCGGGAGCAGTGGTGCAGGCAGTAGAAAGCCATTGTGCAACATCAGAGCCAGTTGGGAGGCCTTAGCTCAGATTCTGGGTTGACCTGGGCACAACTGTCCCCAAACATGCCTATAATAACGACTAGCTGGGTAGCTGAGGGCAGGGCCATGGTGGGGTGAGACGCTGTGCGCAGCTAACTGCCCGCCTTTCTCTTGCTCTGATGACAAAGAGAAAACAAACTTCTAAAACAGTACAGCTACAATGTGCAAAACTGCCATGGGAGAGGGGAGGCTATGCAGTAGTAGAAGAGGGTACAAAGGAGCTCTAGTCGAGGAAGACTTTGTAGAACAGGTAAGACTTGAGCTAGAGCTTGGGACAAACTTTGGAACTATTGATAAATTGAACTAGATTGGTGAAGAGGTAAAAAGCATTTCACAGTTGGAGAAGTGGATCAGCAATGCAAGAAGCAAGATCAGGTGAGCTGTGTAGCCAATAACTCAGGAGGCCACCAGAACATGCACCTTCAGCTCCTAAGCTGCCTCCTTCAAATGCCTAAGAACAACTATAGGCTTTAGTCCCTTTACTAGTGTTAACTAAGATAAGACCACAATTACGTAAAACTTTGCAATTTGGTGCCCAAAATTGGTACTATTTGTCTGTTCATCATTTCCATCTTCTCCGGTTCCTGGCAGGGATATAGTGGATGAAGATGGAATGAAGACAGATGATTGCTGGGATCCTTAGAATTCCTGATAGCCCCGTGTCCTTTTTTTTTTTTTTTTGCTATAGAGTGCATGTGCTCACTAGAGAGAGAGACAGAGAAGAGAGAAAGTGAGAAATCAACCCCTAGGGGAGACAGCCATGCTGCAATCCCTCCTCCATTCTTCTCTTGGAATTTTGGACACATACATACACACACACACACACACACACACACTGGCATGATCCTCAAGCCACTGGGTCTGGGACTCGAACCATAGAGCCAGCCGTGTCGGATTCAGCTCTTTCACCTCTATGTCACCTGCTAGCCCTCCATATCCTTTTAGAAAGCAAGATAGAACTCTTGAGCCTGATTTGGAAAGTAAACATGTAAAATAAGAAGTTCTAATAAACTTATTCATTTCAAGATTACTTATTAAATCATGAGTTATAAATTCCAGGTGTGAAACATCTATCCCTAGTGAGAGATGGGGCAGTTTTTAGAAAAAGATGCATGAAATATTGAATTCTATATGGGAAATTGGAGCCAGGTAGTGAGTTGGGTGAAGTACTAAACATATAAAGCACACACACACACACACACACAACAACAACAAACCACTAGTTTCCTGGCCAAAAGTATGAGAATATTAGTGATTGTCTAAACCAGGTAAATTTGAAGTTTCACAATGCTATGAGCATATTGAAGGTTCTTATAAGTACTTGGGTAAAGGAAGAGCTTAATGTTGTTTGAGTCCATGTTTCCAAACTTAGCCATAGAACTTGTTTTGTTTTTATTTGCTGAGCCTCAGAAATGACATCCTTGGGATATCTGTGGTAAAAAACGAGTTGCTTTTTTTTTTTTACATTTGACAGGTTTTTGCTATAGGGCATGTGCGCTTGCCAGAAACACAGAGAGAGACAGAGAGACAGAAAGTGAGAAATCACCCCCCCAGGGGGGATGGCCACGCCACAATCCCTTCTCCTCCATTCTACTCTCAGGTTCTTGGGCACACCCACACACGCGCCTGGCGTGAGTTTAAGTCACCGGGTCTGGGACTCAAACCGCTGTCAACTACATGGGAGTCCAGCGACATAGCCATTACGCTAACTGCTGGTCCCGAGTTGCTTATTTTTGAACTAGGCAGCCAAGTCCTCATCTCAGTGCACTGAGGGGAGACTCTCAGAGTCCTA